TGCTGCTATGGAGACTGGCTAGCCAAGTACAGGAAAATGCTGTGGAAAAACCCATCTCTACCATCTCAATTGATATGAACACAGAGTAAAATTTCAAAGCATGAGACATGACGGTTGCATTCTTTTTTTTCCTTTGAAAACAACAGGGAAGAAACAGGAAGAAAAAGAGAAACATCCATATTCATTTTCATTCTTTAATATTGAAGAGTGAAAAAAGTGCAAAATCACAAAACTTAAACCACCCCAAAATGCAGATTGCATTGTATATGACCACAACAAAGTGCCTGCAAAGTCTCACAGCGGACATCAACAAACCCTATTTCAACCTGCCTACAGTCTTTTAAACACCTGCTAAACAAACAGCAATCCATACAGAGTCCTAGGTTTTTCATACATCTCTATGCCTTACCTCTACATTTGCTTTCAAATTCAATAGTTTGCATGTTAAAGAAAATAGTGCCCCACTTCTGAATGACCTCAAGCATATAAGCACAGTTTCCACCAAATAAAATTAGTTATATTTTAACAGCATATTACTCATTGAATTCAAACTCAGGAATAAAGCTCATCTTAAGAACAGCAACATTTCTTAAGTAAACTTCAGTGTGTGCAGTAAGTGAAGCCACATTGTCAATCCTTCCAGCTCCAAGCCAATAATAAGGTAATTGCACACAAGGCTGTTAAATAACACATATTAGTATATTATTGCAAAAAAAAGGGATGGGCAACTTTGGGAGTAATGAGTTATACTTGAACTGACAGAAACAGACGCGTGAACTCTGGCCCTGTTTCTGCAAAAAGACCCTCATCTGAGTCTGCATCAGCACAAACCACATTACAGATTCAGGGCACAAGTCACTAGCCTTTTTGTTGCCTGGAGGTGGCATTATCCAAAGTGGCTGTTATGCTAAAATATATATTGACTAATTCCTAATTTTCAGTAACATTTAAGGAAATGACAAAAGGTTTAAGGTAATGGGTGTCAGATAAAGAGTATGCTGCTTACGCAATCTTCTTCAAGGCTTATAACCTTTCTACATTAAGCTGCTCATTTCTCGTGGCTGGAGCCAACTCCACCACACTCAGACAGTCTTCTGATTTTATGTTGATGTCCTTTTCCAGTTCACTTTGACAGATTTTATCTAGAATCAAGGCTCTTAAATTCACAGGAAAAAAACCAAACCAAACCAAGCCAAACCAAACCAAACCTTTTTCCCTCCAAGCAACTAAAGCAATTGCAAACAAATAAACAGCCTCAAGATAAACTGCTACATCTGATAAGGTGGTGCTGTCTAAGAACCTCCTACATAGCCATGGGTGCTTCCTTGGAAGCATCCTACACAGAAACAATTCTGAAGTTTTCTCCTTCAACACTACAGGCCTGTCTATAACACTGAAACTTTATTTCTCCTAATTCACTTGCTCACTGCCAACTCCTTTGCCTGAAGTCATAACCACCTAAAGAAGAGCAGGTGCCTATAACATGCCATCAGTGGGATTTTTCCTGAAGAGAATGCATCTTTAAATTTTTCCATGAAGTTTTCAATAAAATGGGATCGATACTAGTAGTTTAATTGTTTGGCTTCTGCAGGATCCTTGTATCTGTTTGAAAGAGGTTTTAAGTTTCTGCTTAGGATTCAAACTTCCAGAAAACTAATGCGAATTTTTTCAAAATGTGGGTACATTCAATTACGGATCTAAATCTAATTTTAGATAAAATACTGAAATACTGCTTGTCAACTTATGTATAAAACCTTAAGCAGTAAAGTTTAAAATTCTGCCCTAAAACCAATATAGAATTATCTTTTACTTTTAAAGTGCACCATTGAAAAACCCTTAGATGATCAACTAAGGCAATAACACTATATACCATCAAAGAGCTGTAACAGCTCACAAGCCCCTTATCTGTAAATGGGAGCAAAAATACATATTATAAGCATAAATCAGTCATTCTGAAAAATATATCCATTATGTGATTTCAAACATAAAATACACTTAGCATTCACACTTGGGGGTGCATCTGCACTCCTGCTTCAGACTAATTTTCCAGCACCAGCATTGTTGCTCACCATTTCCCAGTTTGGTGAACTATTTCATAATACAGCGCTGAGTGCATGCAATCCTGGTCTACACAAAGAGCTACACCATTGTAATTAAACAGTGATGCAAAATTTGCAGTGCAAACAAAATGCTTGAGTTACTATATTTAATTGCACACCAAACAATAAGGCACCTTGTTTTTGAGAAGGCAGAATGAAGGGGGAAAAAAAGATTTTTCAAGGGTCATGGCTGCACAGAGTAATTGTCAGCTCACTCACCCTGCCTATTCCCAAAAATCAAAACCCTAGCTGCTGCTGAACACTGGTCTCCATGGGTGAATCTATAATTTTAAAAAAAGCTAAAAATATTCTGAAAGGTTGCAAAATAGGAGAAGAGAGGCCAGGAATAGCTTAAAGACAGGAAAATTGTCATAAGAAAGGTTTGCTTGATTAATGGGACATGAAAGCTATTAAAAAGGAGAGCTGATTGTTAACACCTGTGGAGCAGAGAACAATAAACCAGTAAGTCAACTGATTCTCTCAGCTGCCTGAATAAAAGTGCACCTGAGGTGCTTCTATTCTGGACAGAAAATCAGCTTCCCCCCTTAAAACCCCCCCCCCCCCCCCCGCCCAATTTTGGGGGAATGAGTTTTGAGAAAAAAGTGCATGTGGTATGCAAGTAAGTATGGTAGTCTTTGAACTGATTGATACACCTAGTATAGTTAATCCATCTCATATCAAAAATAGGGTAAAATGTTAAACTAAAAGTAGTGCATTTCCACTTCCTATTTATGTCTATACTGAAAGGCAGTAATCCATTTAAGTTTCTATTGATGCTAAATAAACTGAGAACAAGCACCACGCCAGAATAAAATGACTTAAGCTGGAGTGTAATACAGGTCAAACACACAAAACTAATGTTTACGTAAGCACAGGAAAGAAGTTAAAAAGTTAAAAGTTAATCATCTGACACAATCCACCCATCTGGGCTAAGTGTGGTTCTACTCTGTAGAGTGCATCTGTGTTTGTGCATACATGTGCAAAAATAGCAGCCTCGTACTGCGTGTATCCAATTCCCTCTGCAAATCCAGAGCCTGATCTTATTTCCTGAGTGACGAAAATAATTTTTCGTTACTATTTTTTCCTCCGTTCATACTACAGAGACAGAGCTAATGCAGCTCTTAAAGAGTTGGACTCTCTTCCAGATTGGGCACCAACATAATTAAACATGCTCTAAATGGCAGGGTTGAATATTGCTCCTGTTACATGTACTTCTGCAAACCCAGTGAAAACAACTGGATTTCAAATGATGTAAGTCAAGGGTGGGCAAAATGTGGCCTGCCAGGCCATTCTATCCAGCCTCCAGGGCCCCTAAAAAATTTAGAAAATTAATATTTATCTGCCCCTGGCTGCCTGTCATGTGGCCCTCGATGGCTTGCCAAAACTCAGTAAGCGGCCCTCCGCCCAGGATAATTGCCCGCCCTTGATGTAAGCGAAGGCAGAATTTGGTCAAGGCATCTATTATTTTTTAATATGCTCAACCCCAAAAAAAAACAAATGAAAATTTCAGGTCCCAGGTTGAATTTGCAGGGCTAGCAGTTAATAAGGCACCTTTTATCTGTGAGGAGAGAAAGGCTGATCTGGGAAATGAGGCACAATAAACAGGGACCCATCAGTGGCATTTTTACAATAATTTTTCAGAGCAGACAGCACATTAGTTAATCCCATTGTGCTATCTGACATGCTGTCACAGTGACCTTAGGTTCTTACAATACCTAACAAAATCAAGGCAATATGGCACACTAAAAATAACCAGTTCATACTATTAATATCCACGCTGCTGAAATTGGAAGGAGTTTTCCACTGACTTTGGTATGAATGGGATCTGGCCTCTGGATTTTATCCATTTTTCTACTGACCAGTTCTTTTTAAAAATGTTAACCAGATTATTCTCTTCAAGACTGACCAAAACATTTCTCTAAAATATATGCCTGGTACAGTCGTTTCTTATTATATAAATGATAAAATGTAACATATATTCTTAATTCATAGATGTCATTATTTAATGGTTGCTGAAATCTTGCTATTAGGTATTGCATATAAGCACATTAAAATGGAACCAGAAATCAGCTGTCTACATGGCTTACTCCAATACTATTGTAACTGAGTTATTGCATTTCATTATACTTGTGGATATAATCATTTCAAATTCAAACAGAAATGCTGAATTATTTTAGTATCCAAATACAATACAGCATTCACTCCAGTTCAAAACAACATACACTTGTGGATCAGACACATATATAAAATACATGTGATCTTGCAGTTTCCCCAGTGGAAGTTTCCTGTCCTGGGAGATCCAGGTATCCAAAGTAAATGGAACCAGGTCAGGAAGGGGGAAAAATTGCAGTAGCAAGGCTCCTCCATAGAGAAGTGCTCCAACAAAGATGAAGGATTTTGCATAGATTGAGACTTAGATTTCAAATTTATCAGTCCGTGGAAAGTTTATCTTAGTTAAAAAAAAGGAAAACAGTCAAAAATACCCATGGTGAACAAGCTACTAAGCCATTTCATTGAAGTGCCTTCTAGAACCACTGCCCATCATTATCTTCCTCCTCCTCCTCTTCCTCTTTGTCCAGATAGAGAAGGGCAATTTTCTTTTCATCAGAAACTACCGACCTTTGGTCTACCATTCTTTGCAGTTCTACAGTTTTATTGAACACTGATTTCTCTGTTAGTTGTTCACTGTGACCCTGGGAAGAATCAAAAAAGGCACCTGCTCTGGTACTTTCATTCTCTGCATCCTTCTGGTCGCTTCCAACTATGACCCGTGACCAACTGACATCAGGCTCCTTCCTACTGGATACAAAAATTGTGGCTGCTTCTTCTCCCTCTTCCACCAAGGGGGCTGCCCCTACATTAGTTACATCCATTTGGAAAGTAAAAGAAGTTTCCTTGGGTCCTAATCTAATGCGTCTCATAGATCTGCTGCTTTCTGACGACTCTTCTGTCTGAGAAAGATCTTCCAATGCTTCAGAGATGGGCCCTTTGAAGATGATTTGCTCAGAATGAGTTTCTATAGGACCCAATTTGAAGTGCCTGATGGAGCTATCAAAATCGGAGGTTCCTCCAGTCTCTGATGGGCTTCCTCCTGCACTACTGAACTCAGAAGATTCAGAAAGGGAGCCCTGGTATAGGATCTGTTCAGTAGTTTTGATTTCCTTTTGACCTAGCTTAATGTGCTTTACTGACCCTTCAGAGCGAAAACTGTCACCAACTTCAGTGAATTCCAGATGTTCAGAAATGGGGCTTTCGTAGATGATTTGCTCAGTTGTCATAAATTCTTTAGGACCTATTCTAATATGCCTAACAGATGTATTAGTATCTGAAATCTCATGAGATAGGTCTTTTGCACTGCTGGGTTCCACTGTTTCTGGCCCTTCATATATGAATTTCTCAGTTGACTGAAATTGGTTTTGCCCTAATCTAATGTGCATTACTGAACTGTCAGTCTGAGACAGGTCACCAGTGCTACTGACCTCTACACTTCCAGAAATGGGCCCTTTAAATATGACTTGCTCAGCATGAATTTCTTTGGGACCTAACCTAAAATGCTTTATTGTTCTGCTGGCATCTGCTGACCCTTCTTGAGGAAGATCTCCTGTGCCACCAGAGTCTGAAATGGGCCCTTCAAAAGTGACTTCTTCCATAATCTGCCGTGACCCTACCAGGACGTGCCTTCTGGACCTATTAATGTCAGTTCCAAATGGTGACTGAGCAAGGTTTGGGGGTGCACCCGTTTCTAGACCAACAGGCCCCCTATAAATAATTTCTTCAGTGGTTTGAATTTCTTTAGGACCCAGTTTAAAATGCTTCACTGACCTGCTGATATCCGATGACCCTTCTGTCTGAACAAGACCTTCGGTACCACTGATCTCTAGAGTTTCAGAAATAGGCCCTTCATATATCCTCTTCTCCGTTCTCTGAATTTCTGTTGGACTCGTATGCCTCGCGTGTTTGTTAACATCTGCTGACCAACGTGAGGGGGAGACACCTCCTGCACTGTCAAATTCCAGGGTTTCCGAAACCGGACCTTGGCGAAGAGCTTGTTCTGGGGCATGATATTCATCACCATCACCGATTCTCACACTGGAAAAGTTATAAACCTGTTGACTAGCAAAGGGAGCGGGCTTATTACTGCCTGGGGAAAGATCTATTTGTATGCTGCTTTTGCCACCAGACGGACTTTCTGACCTTTGTTTGCTGTGTTCAACCCCTTCTTTTTTTGGAGACCACGGTGATGTCTTCTCCATCTCACTCATGATTACATCATCAAACTGCGGTATATCAAACTGGATATCATACTGGTCAGGGTCAACGGTTTGGGATAGGCTGACTTCAGCAACAAATGTCACTGAACCACCTTCATCAGTCTTCTCAACTTTTTTTATATCAACTGCCAGGTTACTGGAGTCAGCTTGATTTTCTTTTGTTAATGCAGATAGTTCTTTTTTCACACTCTCTGGAAGACTTCCCTCTAACTGCTCGAGCGCCTCTTTCAATTGATGTTTCGGGTCTTTCGTTTCTTTTGACAAAAGTTCCTTTATTGAGGTCTGAAATTCATGAGGTATTTTAATGTCTCTCTCAATGACAATGGATTCAACATGCGATGCTTCATCTCTTGGATGTTCTTCTTTTAAGATATGGGCGCTTGCTTCCTCCCCAACAACCTGATACGTTACTTCTGGTGATCTCATGCCATCATCTTTCTTACTTTGCATGCCCTGCAAAAATTCATCTTGCCAAGAATACTTAATAGCTGATTCTTCCTCTATGTGAATTTGCCCGTACACCGAGTCATCGTCATTTTCTTGAGCTGAGGGGTGATCATCTGGAACAGATACAAAATATTTCTGCTCATCAGTAGTCTCCTCTGCCTCGGTGACTTCTTCCACATGAGTGAAACGGTCACAAGGCTCTGTTTTCTTTTTTAGATTTTGACCTGTCATTGTGAGGTTGTGTTCCTCTTCATCACCGTAACGCCCTTCTAAGCCAGGGGATGTATCCTCTACCTCCTCCACTTCAAATGGTGTAGAAAATTCACTCCTTTCATCTACTGGAGAATCTAGTGGCTCCTCGATGATCTCAACATTAACAGACATTTTGCCCATACCCTCTCTCCCTTTCAGGCCAACATTAATTATATCTTCTATCTCCTCTTTGGAGGGTGTTCCCTCAATGTCTTCCAAAAACCCCTTTTTAGCATCCTTATTTAATACATCTCCTAGGTCAACTTCATCTTGGACTGTAGATTGTACTGTGATCTCGGTTTTCACTTTTCCATCATCAAAATGCTCTTTCTTTTCATGGTAAGTAACTTTTGTATCTCCTGATGTTTCTGAACCAGAAGATGGCACAAAACTTTTAAGAATATCAGCAACAATATTTTCTGCTATGTTTTCTGTCAGTGAAGAACTTATTTTAGGGCTGCTTTTGTCACGCGCTCCCTCTTTGTCTCCCAGGTTGATTTCTCTTTCTGGAATATTCTCATTGCGAGTGTCGACATGTTTCGTTCTGTGTTCATCCCTCTCTCTTCCTGCAGCAGTTTTAAGACCTTCTAATGTTATTTCTACATCACTGGTCTTTGATGTTTTGTCTGGACTGTGCATTTCAAAAGAGATGGGTATCTCAATAGTCTCCTTCCTCCTCGATTCCAAGGTCACATCTTTGACCTTTTTGTTCCATTCAGGTAGATCACCCAATATAAACCTTTTATTAAGGCCTGGTTGAGCCTCAGTCTTTCCAAAATTGACACTTTTTTCTTCCACAGTAAGTTTATCATCCATTTTCTTTTTCTCCAAAATAATATCTCTCTCCTCAACTGGTTTGTCTCGTTCTCTGTTTTCTAGCAGTACAGTACGAGTTTCAGCTTTCTTTTGTTCATACTCATCTTGTTTAAAATTGGAGTTTAGCTCATAAGATTTTGTTCTTATACCTTTGGAAATGCCTGGCTTTGTGTCAGCTACATAGTCCTTACTTGGCTTCTGAACATGTGTTGCCTCTTTTTCAAAAGAAACTGAGGAAGCAGCTGTAGCTTCTGCTTTCTTTCTTTCAGGATATGTTTTTTGCCAAATTTCAGTCTCTTTATGAAGTCTGTGTACTGGAGTAAATGTTGTGAACTCTCTGTGGTCTTTCGTAGCTTCTCGAGTCACATCTTTTCTGATAGGGACTGAAGGACGATATGTTGGACCAAATACATCTTTTCCTACAACTTTCACACCAGCTGAGGTTTGCGGTCTAGCACCTGTTGCTCGAGTTGAATAAAGTGCAGAGCTCCGGATATTTGTTAGTGGTGGTATACGTCTTTTGTCAGGACTCTTGATTACCGGCAAGGGTCTCTTTTTTCCTTCTCGGTAGCCTGAGTAAACATTACTATAGTTGTAAGATGCATCTCTGACATCTGCCAAAAGAGCATAAAGGAACCAACATTAAAATAAGGGTCTGTTATTCATTCAGAAGTCTCAAATCCTGGAGGCAGAAGTTTTGCCTCCATGGGAAGATGCCTCTCATCCACGTGCCAGAAAGTATAAACATAAACCTAACCACCGTTCATCATCAAGACCATGCACACGATTACGAGAAGGGGGATCACCAGGTATTAGCATTTTAAAGTTATCATAAATGATCAAAAGTTAACAGTAAATAACCATTTGGTAAATCACATGAGAGAAACCTGCCGCTCATCTGATTTCACCTGGACTGACGACTGCTACATAATAAAAGCCACTAGTACAACTGGCAGCCACAGCTTAGCAGAGACATCCAGGATCAACAGGACAGAGAGCGTGAACTGTCCTCCCACCATAACAGATGGGCTTTCTAGACTGAGTTCAGTCTCTGGGGCCGTCAATACAGCAAGAAATTAACTTGCGAATACTGAACCTCAAAAACAGCTCAAAGGGTTCACTCTGCTCTACGCAGGTGAAAATATAAAATAAATTGACTTGTTTTAATAATAATAAAATACAAATGTTATAAAATTGTATTTAACAGGTCTATATTTAATGCCTTTTTTTTTTTTTTTTTTTAAAAAAAAAAAAAAACAAATGTTTTAAAATTTTATTTAACAGGGCTATATTTAATGCCTTTTTTTTTTTTTTTTTTTTTACCTTTTGGTAATTCTCTTCCTTGCTGATCAGTCCATGTAATAACCCACTGGCTGTCCTCTCCTTCAAGCAAGGCTCTGAAACACACACAAGTGCATTTGATTAAAGGCAAAGTATAAGCTACCAAGGCTGCTAAGGCAGTGGTGCTCAACCTGTCCGGCCCCACAGGCTGGATCCAACAGGCAGGGGGGTGGAACTGGGCAGCAGATGAGCAGCAGTTAATGCTGCCACCACTCCTCCACTGCTGTATTTCTGGACCTGTGGGGAGACCCATAGGCCACATAACACAATGGGTCAAATCCAGCCCGCAGGCTGGAAGTTGAGTACCCGGATACTAAGGTATATGCCACTTTTGGCAACAGGGCCTGTAAATCTGGGTGGTGCTGGACACCCCCAAGCCTTATAAAGATCAACAAGAGTGAGGTTCCCAGCAGCTTGGAGCCTCACAAAGGAAACCTAATGTGGGATACAGACAGAGGTAACAAGCATTTCAGTTTCTAATTACCCCAAAGCACACCGTTATAATCTAACTACCATGTCAGCACGATTCTGTAGCAACACAAGAAACTGTCGCAACTTCAACTCTAGTTCATTTGGGGTCAAAATTAGAGAGGGAGTGGACTTGTATCTACAGAATCATGCAGACAACAGTTACATCACAACAGCTGATGAACACACCTGACACGTGGCTCCCTCGCCCTTCTTAAACAGCTGAGAGGTATGAATGTGTATACCCTTGGACACCTGATTTCTGGGAGAATTTTGCAACATTCGGTTTTGCACACCTTAGATGCAACCCCCAAACTCCCTTCTCCCTTGGCTTACTACCATGAATACGTCCACTAATTTCAGCACAACTCAAAGCAGTAAATATTTTGGAGATAGGTGAACCATAGGAATATGGCAAATTCAAGCCCACTTGGACAAAGAATAATTGGAGAGGGGAGGGGGAAATCAGAAAAAAAGTTATATAAAAGTGTAATAAAGAAGCGTTCATGAATGAAGAGTGAGAGACCACTGTTCTTAGCTTGTTAATACAGCTACATCCAGGGATCTTCAGTATCAAGGTACTATCATCATTTTGAAATGAAAGAGCATTACTTCCATTGTCACACCTACTAGCCAGGATTGGGTAAAACCGTCCTAAACAGACTACAGGATCTCTGTCGTCTCAATGGCACAGATAATATAACTCAGTGGCACACAGATAACATTTAAACCGTCAGGCGGAGATCAGCACAACGTGTTTTGAAAAAGCACTTTGTTTCAATACCTTCCCATCTAGAATGTTTCCCCCAAAGGACAACAGACTTTTCTCATGATCCTGTCCTCTCTTTTTTGGCACCGTCTAGACCAGAGGCCAGCAACCTTGGACAAGCTGCAGGCTGGAGCACCGGAGGTCCAAGGCAGGCTGCAGGACAGCAGTGGGAGACTCCCCACGCCGGTGCCGGAGCCAGGGAGCTGCTGCTTCTCTCAGCCCCCCGCTCCCTGGCTGCAGTGCGGGCACAGCTGGACGCTGATGGCCTCAGCATAGTTTTCCCCCCAGGCTGGAAGCTGCACCCGCACTGTAATACAGAACTGCACCAGGCCCAGGTATCCACAGACTGCATCCGCGCTGCTGCTACTTCTCCCTGCTTCCCCCAGCTAGCTGCAGCGTGGGCACAGCTGGAAGCTGACAGCCCCAGCACAGATCCCCCCACCCCCTGGCTTGGACACTGCACTTGTCCGGTAGCCTAGGGAGGGGGGAGGCACAGCAGCATGGATGCAGTCTGCAGACACCCAGCACCGGCACAGCTCCCCGTGGGCTGGAAGCTACATTGGCGACAGCTGTGGGATGGGGGGGCTAGGCGAAGCAGCAGCAGCAGCAGCCCTGGCACAGCCCCCAGCTGCCTGGCCCTGGAGCAGGTGCAGGCAAAGTTCTCCAGCTCCGCAGGCCAGATCCAGTGGCTCTGCAACCCAGATTCAGCCCGCAGACCTTATGTTGCTGACCCCTAGCCTAGAATAACATTCCTGGTTATAGGAAACCAGAGTTACTACAAGCTTCACCCTTGTAAAGCTTTTGGTTGAGTAACCCAATTACAGGGGTTAGCTCCACAGCCACTAACCAGAAATGAAAAGGTGACAGACTTCTCCTGAGGGAGATTATCCCAAAATCAAAAGAATAGGAAAAAGGTCACCGCAACTTCCAGGTGTTGCCCATCCTCGATGGACCGGTATACTCTGCCAAACAGTGTCCATAGACCGGCTAACCTTAGCGACTGCCTTCAGCTGGCTTCACTCGGAGCACTAGGCTGAATTTGAATATTACTTTGGAGAATAAAGATAGGACTTTTTCCACCCGAGTGTCAAACTGCAGACGTGCTGGGGTACTGTATATCAAATACCCCTTGTTCCCTATACCACGCGAGCGCCTACTCTTGACTTGTGAGATGCTGGTGGTTCCTCCTGGCAGGCACTGGCCCACTGCTCCTTCCCTCCCCTGCAAAGGGTAGCAAAGACTCCACAAAAAGACTTCCACAGAAATGAGCAGGGCTGAGCTACCTGACATACAAGGCAGGAGTGGACAATTATTTTGGCTGCAAGGCCACTTCACAATATTTGGTGAGCTGTCAAAGGCTGCAAGGGTAGCCTCACCCTTTGACAGGAGCCCCACACCCCAATTGCCACCTTGGGACCAGAAGTCCCACCTCTAACCCTTGACCTTTGCCACCAGAAGTGCCCTCCGCCCCCTTTTGCCTCTGGAAGTACTCCTTTGGGGGGCGGGGGTTGGAGAAAAAAAACCCAAACTATACTAAAAAATCAAAATTGTAATTAGGGTTACCATACGTCTAGGTTTTCCCAGATATGTACTCTTTCTAGATCCTCTCTCTGTCCAGGTGGGTTTTTTCAATATGATCAAATATCCGGGATGTTGGTCAGCTCAGCTTCAAAGTTTTCCCTGGCACTTCCCAGCTTGCCGTGGCGAGGAGCTGGGGGCAGGGCGCACACAAACACGTGGCCAGGCAGAGGGTGGGAGCAGCCCGGCAGCTGCCGGCCCTGGGGGAGGGTGGCCAGGTGCGGGGGCTGCAGCAGGGTGGGGGAGCCGCCTGCCCCTCCAGTGGGGCAGGGGGCCCTGTAGGGGCAGCAGGGAACTGCGTCGCTGGCCCCGGGGCTGGTGCCTGTGCTTTCAGGGGCAGGGCAGCCAGGAGACACTGCAGGGCTGGGGGGATCAGGGGGCTGCAGTTCGGGAGTGAGGAGCACTGGGGGGGCTGTGGCTTGGGAGTAAGGGGCACCGGGGAGGGGGGAGGGGGCAGTGGGTCAGGAGCGTGGGGCACTGGCAGCTCCAGGGGGTTGTGGGTCAGGAGTGAGGGGCACCAGCATAGCTCAGGGGGCAGGGTACTGCAGTCAGGGACTGCAGGGCACTGCGGGGGCCGTGGCTTGGAAGTGAGGGGCAACAGAAGGGGCAGGGGCAGGGCACCGGCGTGTCACTGCCCCCCCCCAGTCATATACCCCCTCCCCGCACACAAGTGTCCTCCTTTTTGGAACTGGAAATATGGTAACCCTGATTTACTATATAGCATATTTTAATTTTATTTCAAAAAATACTTTTGTCCTGTTTTACACGTTTGCATTGTGTATATAGAGGCAATTGCATAATAGCTCAAAATAAAGTCTTACTCTTGTATATTGTGTGTGGCTGGGTGTGGGGTTTGTGGGGGCTGTCGGTGTGGGGTTTGTGGGTGGGTGTGGGGCCCCCTATCGCCACCTCCCCTCCACGGTGCACAGCTCCTGGCGCCAGTGGCAGCGGGAACAGGCGGGCCCTCGCGGCACTCGTGGCCCACAGCAAGCAGAGCCCCCCAATGGCGCGCAGCTCCAACTGAATCCCGGGAGCTGCAGGTGACGGCACCGGGCCACCCAGCCCAGGCCGCTGGCGTGCACCTTCCAACCAGACTGGGCTGGCTCCATGCCAGCACATGGGGCTCCTGGCACTGCAGGCAAGAGCCGTGCGCCATCGGGCTGGGCCAGCTTCATGCCTCCACATGGGGCTTCCAGCACTGCAGCAGGGAGGTGCATGCGGAGGCACAGGGCCAGCCAGGCCTGCAACTCCCCCTGGCTCCTGGCCTGCACACCATCGGGCTGGGTGGGCTCCCTGCCCTTCATCGGCCCAGCCTGCTGGTGTGCGGCCGTCCTCCCACCAGAAGACAGCACACATCACTTCTCCCCCAGCGAGCACATCCCAGGAATGGGGTTTCCATGTCCTCCGCCACAAGCCAGTCCTGAATGCTGCAGCAGTCTGATGCAGTTTCATTTAAATGTCAAATGAAGTAATATTATCAGCATGGTGACCCTGGTGGGCATTTAACATTCTGTATTAAACCCAAATCAAGCCCGTCTCTCATTTTTAGCTTTGGAAATGCCAGATGCTTTGCACTGGTAATGTACAGCTGCATCATACTGTTGTTAGGACCAAGACTGGAGGTTTTTGATAGCTGAGGGTTTTGACTCTGGGACGGAGGGAGGGGAAGGCAATTTGAGAGGACAGTTAATTACATCAGCTGATACTTGCAGCAGAAATCCCCAGTGGAGGAATAGATAACACAGACATTTCAAATGTCATCTTCAGGTTTCAGGCTCAAAGACTGGCTACAACGGACCAAGGCCCCTTGCATGTCTATGGTTTCTGTCTGCAGAGTGAGAAAGACAACGCTGCATCACATTACACTACTTGCAAAGGTGCCTTTGCCACTATGGATTTGTGTAGATTTGGCAGAAGAGCAAGATTAGATCCAGACTGGACTGCAAACACATGTTAACGATCACAAACAGGACACCGCTGGTTACCTAGCCGAGTTCAACCCTAGAAAGGAGACGGGCTCAAGCTCAACCAAACTAAATCAAAGTAAGAGGTGTCAGGCTGTGTCTACACTAAGGGAAAGACCCTGGCTAGACTCAAGTGAGCTAACCTCTTTTTTAATCCAGGGAAACCACCACAGCCGGACATCCGATCACCACTTGCCTTTAATGCAAACAGAACTGCTCTTCTCATTAGTCACCATGAACCCGGTGCAGAAAAGTATGAAAGACCTGACAATGGAAG